TATTTAATTCTGATTACTGGATCACGAGTTATCGGAGGTTACTATATATTATTTGATTGGTCTATTAGTATACTAGTGCGGTTAATTATTTATCATGAAACTGCCATATAAAACACTTCCTTTATAGTAGACCCTGTATTATACCGGTCTATGCTAGGGTTAAGAATTTGGTAACGCTGGGTTTTTGACTAGTAATTTACATACTTAGCCTTCTCTGAACAATATACCCCCAGGCAGTGTTGTACATTTTGACTGTTCTGTGACATTTTTGACTTGTCCCGTCTTGTCCTGTCCCAGCTTCGTCCCATCAATATCTCAACTTTTAAATTATATCAAAAATAATACAAGTATATATAAATTAAGTTTTAAACAACTTTATTTAATAGCCCAAAGCATGTTAATTTTGAGCTATTGGCATTTTTTAAAACTTCAAATTTGTTCCAACTATACTATATACAAAACTGCTCTGGGTATAATTAAAATCAGTAGAATGTAACATACCCAGGTCATCTATATGGCCATTTACAGTATTTATTGCATAAGGCGTAGGAGCCTAATAAGGCTAGAATAGTTATGCTTAGAGTTGGCAATAGTAAAAACACCTCCAAATATTAAATTTAGCAAGAAATTTTTTTAATTAGAGTGTAGAAAGTAGGTTTATAAATGAATTTTTGCACAATTTTTTAAAAAAATCATGATTGCTTCGATTTCACATTATACTTGATCTTGTATCCGAAAATTTTGACACCCTGCTTTATAAACACCTTGTTTTAAGAAACCAAGTAAACGAACGCGATATATTGGTGGGTAAAAAAACACCGCAACCTCGTCTCAAGAAGAAAGTGAAGAAGAAGCCTTACTTTTGAGTATTTTGGAGGAAGCCTCCCGAAATTTTGTTGACTTTTCGAAAACTATTTTATTAACAACTTGGTTTCGCATTTCATAGACAAGTTTATTTCTTATAAATTCTTTTAACCCTAACCCTAATTCGTCGGTCTACGAAATGTTCATAAAAAAATTTATTTCTCTAAATAATTTGCAATTATTTATTAAAGAACTAATAATAAATTAGTAAAGTTAAGTTTAATATTAAAAATTCCCAATGGAGCAATAGACTGGAGCGGTCAAAATTTTTTAATAGAACACCAAAACATCAACACTGCATTCATTTTATATAATTTATAGTTACGGCTGGAACTTGTATATGCGTTGCTCTCGTAATAGTACATTAATTAAAATATGGAAACGCCAACAGCAAAAGCAGGTGATAGAACTATATATTATATAGTCCTATCACCTGCTTTTGCTGTGGGCGTCCCCATATGTTAATCATTTCCAAAAGCTTATAAAACTTCTAGGTTTCACATGATTCTTGAATGCAACTTCTAGTTTTCTTTTACTCAATATATATTTCAAAAGTTAATATGAGTCAGCAAACATTTTTTTTTAGTTCCATGTTTAATAAAAAGCCAATATATAATTCACCAACTAATAAATATCAAGAGTTCACAAATGCCTACGTATATAGTATTATGGTGAGAATGAGTAATCATGCTCCCGATCGTGCTTCTGTCTGTCGTGAAGCTGCAAATGAATGGAATAATGTTAAAAAAAAGAACATAGAAGAAATTAATGAAATCATTCGTAACTACATGGCTACTCCACTTAATCTATATGACATACAAACGATAAAATACAAACGTTCAGTACCTGCAACGGAATCATGTCCACCTCCTCTTCCAACTGTTAATTCAGTAGATCCTTTATCAGAAATTCCTGCTAACGCATCAGCCCAAAAAAAAGCGGCAGATGAAATTATGATTGCTGAAAAAAAACTTAAAGAATTTGAACAAATTTATAATATCACTACTGATATTCAAGTCCGTAATGATATATATCCAAAAATAGAAAACCTGCAGGCTGAAATTAAAACTAACAAAGATAAAATTATCAAGTTAAAGAGAAATGCCAAATATGCCCAAAATTGCAAAGAAAAAAAATTAAAACTACTTATCAAAAAT